CCCAAATAAAACGAACCAAAACAAATATCCGTTAACTTGAAGAGGCCCTGCTTCAGATGGCCCTGTTGCATGGCCAGAAAATTCCAAACATCATCGGTGACAAAATAAGCATAGCTTTTGTTTAGCCTTAGCTGGTGTTGGGCAAAGGTGGCACTGTCCACCTGCCTGATGAGCCGCAGGAAATCTTGGCTTAAATTCAAACCTCCGGACATTAGAAAATCATATTCATAGTCGATTATCATCACGGAGATGTTTGCCCTTATCAAGTCTTCCATGGTATTGATTTGTCCACGAAATATGGTCACGGTGAGAATACTGCCCAGCAGCGAGGTATAGTTGGCTGTCAAAAAGAAACCATGGAACCATACCGCTGCATAGAAGAGAAATCTCATTATGGAGGGATTTTTAATGGTCCGACTGGCTGCTATGTTGATGATGAAACAAAAATTCTCCAGCACACTGTCTCGTATGAGCCATATAAGGACATTCCTTTTGACGACCGTGCGCTTTCCCAGCGACTGAACATATATCCAAAGGCCATCGATGATGCAGAGTATGACAAAGGTGCCCAGCACAGCATACCATATTGCATTTGTAAAGGGTTTGAGGGCATAGTAAAATGTTGATTCCCGATTCCATTGCGGCACCATAATGCACCAGCGCACGACCATTATGGGATAACTGATATCCAAATTGTCATCGGTGCTAAACAGGGCATAGGCATGACTCAGGATAATAACCTCACCATTTCGTATCAAATTCAAAGCTGCTCGCATATCGATAACATCTCCTCCCAACGGGTCCTTGGGCATTTCATACACCTCCATGGAGGCATTGACATATTCCAAGAAGACATTCAATATACTAAAGGATATGCCACGCTGCACCACATTACCCTGGCCATCATGGGAGCTGAAAACATAGGGGACATCCTGGCGTAATGGAGTCTTATATTTATAGCCATAGGCATCCCAGCCACCACTAGACACCTTACTCATGCTGCTACTGAAGGTGCTAAACAAATTGGTACGCTTAGCAATGTGTATCTCAGGAAAACTGGTGATGCCATATAAATCCGATGAGCCATTCCTATAGCCAACATAGAGCAGGCTGAGTTCAAAGTTATTCCTCTCCAGCACATAGAGGGTCTCCTCCGCAATGCGAAAATCATCGATTCTGTCGACAATGACTACAAAATTCAAATATCCATGACGTCCCTTCAGCACCAAATTGTGTACATCCAAAATGGGATCATCGGCAGAGGTGGTGAGGACAACGCCCAAATAATTCCTTTTACTGTCCGTTTGCATAATGCGATCGCTCAGGGTGTTGGTCAGCACCTTTTGGGGCACAAATGTTCTCGCATGCAGTGTTAGCATGAAATTCTCCAAATTCTCATGGTGTTCCCCGTTCAAGCGCTCCGATATGAACCAAATCACTTCGGGTATTTTTATATAAGCCACCAGAGGTAATATGTAACCCATAAGGAAGGCGGTGTCCCAGGTTGTGTTGACGTTTTGCCGTAAAATATCCATTGCTTGACGACGTTTCTTTAACAAATGATTTGTTCCGTTTGCCAAGCGATAGACAAGCTTTTCGTTGGCTCATCCAATGCATCCTTGGGGAGTTGTATTTGTAATATGAACATGCTTCCCTATGCCTTCGAGGCTTGTTTTTGATATTTTTAGTGAGGATTTGTGTGATGGAGGAAGTTATTTTTAAATGAAATTTAAAATATTCTTCCATTGGAGGTCCTTGAACTTCACCTTAGAAACAAGTCAAGGATACGAATTTGTAGATTGAACAGTCACCCCAACACAATGGGATAAGTTATAAGTTTATGTCAGAAGTTAGGTAGTTTATGTCAGAAACTCGGCAATTAGGGGTCACCTTTGGGCATAAGACTTCTCGGAGGTATTTCCCCGATAGAAGACCTTCTAAATATTATTTAGGTAGAAACCTTCTATAGGTCTTCTTAAAGGGGAAAGTATTCTAAAGGACCTTTTAAGGGAGGGGACCTATTAAAAGTCTTCATTGAACGCATTTTAAGCACTTCTAATAGATAGAGACCCTCTCAAGGGATAGAAGACCTTCCAAGAGTCTTTTATAGGATAGATGACTTTCATAGGTTTTTTATAGGATAGAGGGCTATTTTAGGTATTATATAGGATAGAGGACCCTGTACAGGTATTCTATAGAATATAAGACCACCTTAGATGTATGAGATGGGAACGTATTCTATAGGATCTAAGACTATAGTGCGGAAGATCGTCAAAAGACCTTCAATAGCGTAGAAGATCCCCTTAAAAGTCTTCCTAAGGACGACTGTCTTAGGTCTTCTATAGAATATGATATCGTTTAAAGCACTCTTATAGGCTAGATAACTCTCTAAAGGTCCATTATTATAAGAAGGTCCTTAAAAGGACTTCCATAGGATACATAGGTCCTCTAAAGGACTTCTATAGGATATATAGGTCCTCTATAGGACTTTTATAGGATAGGTAGGTCATCTAAAGGACGTCTATAGGAAAGAAGTCACTCGTAGGTTTTCTGGAGGATAGATCCCCCTCTAAACGCCTTTTAGTAGATAGAAAGGCCTCAAGATAAAAGAAAGAATACAATATTCGATCAACGACTCCAGAATAGCTTCCTATTTTATAGAAGACCTCTTGACATTCTTGTATTCACTAGAAAATCTCTCCAAGTTATTCTCTGGATAAAAGACGTCTCAGATGTCATCTATCCTCTCGGATACCATTCGCAAGGAAAGCTCTCCAAGAGCTTAAATTTTGACATAAATTTTCTGAAAGGCTTTATATTGCAGTGAAGATCCTTTAAAAGCTTTGTGGTTAATTAAAGACCTATCCCAGTTGTTTCTTAGATATAGGTATATTATCTTTTATTCTCTGAAAAATCTGCCAAGATCTTCTATTTTTTTCAAGGAGCTGTCAAAGGTTCTCTGCTCGTCAGAAGGTCTCTCAATGTTCTTCTATTAGGTAGAAGGCTTCTCAAAGCTTTAATTTTCTTAAGTAGACCTTTCAAAGGTCTTCTAGTCCCGAGACCTCTCAGAAATAATCTATCAACAGGGATACTCCTCAAAGGTTATTCTATTTCTAGAAGAGCTCTCTTAGGGCCAAAAAAACCTTTTTATGGAGCGTCTCTCAAATCTCTTCGTTTCCTTAGAAGCCATTCAAAATGTTATTTTCTTTCAATGTCCTCTCAAAGCTTTTTGATTTGTTCAAAACCCCTCTAAGCTTTTTTGATTATTTTTAAGATCTCTCAATGCTTTTTTCTATTGGAAGTCCCTTCAGAAGATAGAATACTAAAAGATCAGCTAAGATCTTTCATTTTTGGAGAAACTGTCAAAGGATCTCTACTCGTCAGAAGATCTTTCAAAGTTCTTCTATTAGGGAGAAGGTTTCTCAAAGCTTCTATTTTCTTAAGAAGACCTATCAAAAGTCTTCTAGCTTCGAGACCTCTTAGAAATCATGTATCACCTGGGATACGGCTCTAAGGTTATTTAGCACAGAAGAGCTATCCTAGGGCACCAAAGGTCTTTCTTGGGAGCGCTTCTCAAAGCTCTTCTATTCTTTAGAAGTCTTTCAAAAACATTATTTTCTTTCTTCTCAAAACTCTTCTAACTCCTTAAAAGTCTTCTATTCGTTATATCTAGTCTTTATATGACCTCTCAAAGGTCTTTCTATAGATGGTCTCTCAAAGCCCTGCGTTTTTTAGAAGTCCTCTAAAAAGCCTTATTTTCTCTCAAGTTTTCTCAAATCTTTTTAAATCAACATAAAATTGATATGAAGGCCGGAACGGTCTTCTAGAAAATTGTTCAAAGATTTATCTAAGTTCATTAGTTCTTCTTTAGATGGCTCCTCGACGTTCTGTTGTTTATATATCCTTCCAAAAGTCCTTGTCCTCGTTAGAGGGGCTCTCAATGTTCATCCAGCGAAGAAGCCATCTTTTTTTGATGGAAGAACTCTCTAAGATCTCTTATTCGTTAATACGGCTCTCAAAGCTCTTTAAATGTGGGAGATCCTCTGGAGGCCTTCTTACCATTCATTCAATCGCATTGAATATCCCTTTAATATTAATTTACAAGTTGTTCTTCTCCCTCCCAGTCCTTTCAAAAGAGGAAAAGTTATCCTTCACTTCTTGGAAAACATCAAAGTATGCATCCCCAGAGACAGGCTGATAAATGTCATGAAACGACAACGGAAACAATTGGAGGAAATTCAAGCAACGATGAGCTCAATCTATAATAGAACCAGGAAAATGCAGTCACGTGTGCCTTCTGTGAACGTAACCCTCTCTCTGTCTGTCTGTCTGTCTGTCTGTCTGTCTGTCTGTCTGTCTGTCTGTCTCTCTCTCTCTCTCTCTCTCTCTCTCTCTGCACATACACACACACAATAAGAGCCATTGAAAACAGTGTAATGATTAAACTGTAAGCAGAAATAAGGAAATTGGGAGAACATAAAAGTGCGACCCTCTCTCCGCCCACAAAAAAAAATCTCAAAGGATTTAAAACAGGGCTAGCCAACCAGCTCTGATTTAGAACTTCTAAATTCTTTCTATCAAGAAACAATCTTTTCCACCTCTACTATCGACAGAAAATCTCTCGATTTTTTTTTATTTCTAAAAGCGCTCTGCAAAATCTGTTACACATTTAAGTCCTCTGTAATGGTTAATGTCTTTGGAAGACCTGAAATGTATTTATTTATTGAAGAAACATGGAATGACCCTTAAGCAGCGCCAGACAATAAAGAGTACTTTTTTAGCTCCCATACATTACTCTCTCAAAACATTGTTTTTAAATCATTCTGATTATGTGTGTGGAGAGAACTGCTCTCATTGAAGGCACCAGTGCCTGTTCAAGACTGGGCCTGCTTTAAAGAGTAATATAGCGAGGAGTCTGAAAAACACATTTATGCATTAAAAAATATATAAAATTAAATAAAAAAATTAAAAAATGTATTTCCTCAAAATTTAATTTATTTTCAATTCCTTCTTCTCCTCTTCGCGTGACAAATAATTTCCAAAATTAAACACAACCCTCCCAAAACATATATCCCCAACATCAAGGCAAATATTACCACCAAATGATCCATACCAACAGCCTGATATTCACCAGCTGCCCTGATGATCCTCAGCTGGCCCGACTTGACGGCATGATACAATGCCTTCTGCTCATAAACCTGATACAGACCCGATGAATGAATACGAAAAATGAAATATTCCAAATTACGCCAAATCGGTGAATCCTTTTCCATGACATAGGCCAAATGGTACGACCCGAAGCATATCTGGGAAAATTTGAAGTGCCTCTGCTTCAAGTGTTTTTGGGAGTATTGCAAAAAATGCCAGCGATCTTCGGTGGTAAAATACCCGAAACTTACATTCATCGATAGCTGATGGGCATAGAAGAACGAGGAGTTGACAACCAGCAGCAATTGCAGGAACTCCGGTTGTAATGGGAAACCTTGAGATTCCAAAAATTCCAATTCATAATCGATTATCATGATGGGCAGCTGTAGGCGTATTATGTCCTCCAGGGTGTTGATTTGCTCGCGAAATAAACTGACAGTCAAGGCGGATCCCAGATAGGAGCAGTAGAGGGAAGTTATGAAAAATCCAAAGAAAAAAATCGAAAAATTATAAAGAAAACGTTGCCAACAGCCTGGGTTGGAGAGGGGAAATGTGGGACTGAGGTTAAGTAAAAAACACATGTCGTTTAACCACAAATCCAGGAAATGAAGAGATTTCTGTCCTAGATGCCACATCAGGAAATCCATGGAGCATAGCAAAAATAAGACCAATACCACCATGAGCCATACCTGGCACTCGAATGGCTGCAGGGCATACAAATTGGTGGATAGTTCATTCCTTAGGGGTACCATTAGACACCATTTGACCACCAGCAATGGATAGCTTTTTTCCAGTAGCTTATCTTTTTGGAATAAGGCATAGGCATGGGCAGAGATGTGGATTTTCCGGCTGCGAACCAAAGACATGACATTCTGCATGTTGACAACATCATTTGCGGATTTGTTTTTGGGATATTCCACTAAACGACCATTTATGGAGTCCATGAAACTCTTTAGTATGGTATAACTGGTACCTTGAATCTGTCTGGCCCCATTTGCTGTCAGGTAGCTAAAAACTCCTGGAATATCCTGTTCCATGGGGGTATACCATTTATAGCCTCCTGTGTCGAGGGCAGCCAAAGCCAATTGTTTGAATTCCTTTGCAAACCATAAGTTATAGTCGGTGTAATTTTTCAACTCAAATTCTGGAAATTGTTGGAAACCAAACAGATTCGCCACACCTCCAATGGAATCAAAAAATATAAATGTATTGACAAAATTCCGTTGGCTTAAATTCCTGGCCAATTTTTCAATTGATTTCACATCTCCGACTTTTTGGGTGAAGAGCAATAGACCAATATAAAAATGTCTTTCGATGAGTAAATCATTGTGGACCTTCATAATGGGATCCTCCAGTCCCGTTGTTATCACCACTGCTGTAGACACCCGTTTGCAACCGATCTCCACCATGCGAACATCCATCCATTCGGTCCACACAAATTGTGTCAAATAGTTGCGCTGCGAAAGACCTTTCATGAAACCATCCACCTCCTCCAGTTGTTCACTCTCCAATGCTTGACTTATAAACCACACAATTTCGGATACCGATGTCCGATTTATATAGGAATCCAAAAATCCATACAAATATTGAAAATCCCATGAAGTGGCCAAAGATAGGCAGCCACATAACACATATGCAAGAATTTTCAGTTCCATGTCTACGGGATGTTAGTTTGAAACTAATTTACAATTATGAACAGGATTTATGAATGTCCATCTAGATAGTGTCATGATTCCCAGGGAGAATATTAAATATGAAAACATTTTTTATGAACATGAATCGGTTTTAATTTAATTAATTTAAAATGCAACACTTTTCGCGGAACACTAACAACCAATGCTGGTGTTTTTAGGTGAGGTGTGGCTAAATGGGGTGAATACACGAGAAGTTATCATAAATTAAATGTGTTGAAAAATAATAAAAAAAAACGACAGCGCCATCTGTTTTTGAAGTTCTAGATTTCCAAAAATTTATTATATCCTTCACCTTGAAAAGGAGGATATATTAACTTTGTCATTCCGTTTGTTACATCCCTAAATATTCGTCTTAGACTAGAATAATGCCACTAAAATCATCAAAATACCGAATATAGGAAGGTACCGTTATATGGGGGCTATACAAAGGCTTGGACCTGCATGGACAATTTTCTGTCATAGACTGTAGTATCCATTACGAACCTCAAATACCAAATTTAAAACATTTCCGGTGAATAATGTCGCTAAAATCAAAGAATACCGAATATTGGGAGGTACCGTTATATGGGGGCTATACGAAGACGTGGACCTGCATAGTCAATTTTCTGTCATAAACTGTAATATCCATTGCGAACTTCAAATACCAAATTTTAAACAATTCCGGTGAATAATGATGCTAAAATCATCAAAATATCGAATATCGGGAGGTACTGATATATGGGGGCTATACGAAGACGTGGACCTTCATAGATACATTTCTGTCATAGGTTGTAGTATCCATTACGAACTTCAAACACCAAATTTGAAACATTTCCGGTGAATCATGTCGCTAAAATCATCAAAATACCGAATATCGGTACCGTTATATGGGGGGCTATAGGAAGACGTGGACCTGCACGGACAATTTTCTGTCATAGGCTGTAATATCCAATACGAACTTTGAATACCAAATATCTCTAGGATGGTTAGTATTGAAAGTGAGATATATCGGTCCACCTTTTAGTATAGCCCCCATAGATCCATGTTTAGGTATAGCTCCCATATAAAGATACCCACCGAAGTTCGGTATTTTCATAAACCTAGTCACATTTATCCACGAAATTATTTCAAATTTGGTATTTTAGTTGTTGTTGTGGCAGCAGTAGTACATATGGATGTTTGTGTTCTGCTAATCTGGTTCAAGCTCCAGGTTTAAAAATTCGGGTAATTAAACGGACTGTAGTCAGAGATCTTCTTATCACACGCCGGTCAGACGTCACGCATATATTCCTCAATTCGTGCCCAATATGAATTGAGACTACTACACCATCCTGAACGTAATTTCGCCAAAACTACCCTGGTTTGTCTAAGCAACTGGCGTTCTTCTGCTGCAATGGATGGGAGGGGTGGACTCCGAGGACGGCATTCATCCTGTAATTGCTGATAGCATCTGCGACTGCATCGGTATGAATGTCACTCAGACCCGTCTGATATGCTTCAGGATCTAAAGGTTCTCTCTTATAGCGTTGGACCTCCCTCTCTCGATCGTGTATATACTTCCAGACACGCCTAGGTGGGGGAGTTGTATCCACCATACGATGGTTGGGATGACTCTCATGGTAACACCGAAGCCGATACTGCAACGAGAGCATATGAAGGATTTTCGCCACCTCATGTGGATGGTCCACTGGTGTCATGAGCAAGCACCCTGTCGCAGTTCTCATGGCAGAATTGTGGCAGGTTTTGATGTGCTCCACTGTGTAGCACTAGTATTCGCAGACCACACTAGAGCCGCATACACACTGACCACAGACCAGAGACCTATCGCGTTATAAGAGGTCAACAAGGTTTCTTTGTCCTTCTTGCCGGTTAGCGCCTTGAGGACCTTGTTCATACTTTCCATCTTATCGCAGATGGCTGTGGCTTGCGTGGACGACTTGAACAGGCTTTCGAACTAGAGCCACATAGCTGACGACAAATCACAGACCTAACGCGTTATAAGAGGTCAACAAGGTTTCCTTGTCCGCACCCCAAGTGCTGCCAGCTAGCGCCTTGAGAACCTTGTTCCTACTTTTCAGCAGATAGCTGTGGCTTGCGCGAACGACTTGAACATGCTGTTGAATATGACCCCTAGAATCTTGGGATAGTTCGTGATCGCTATTAAATTTCCCTCGACCTGCCCATTCAGCAGTGTTTTCATCTCCGCAAACTTATTGTAAAGAGTGTGGCCTTTGATTTCGTGGCGAACATTTTCATATTCCTCGCGTAGAAGTATGCGTCAAGCTTCGCGAGATAGGGGTTCAACCTTTCACATATGTCATCGACCATACATGGTATTTAAGTAGATTTGATAGATGACAAACATTGAAGCACCGCTTTGGTATGGCCGCCACATAACGGCCTCACCCACTTTATGGTTTTTTGAAAAGTCTAACAGCATTATACAAACGGTCTTAAAGGTGGCGCTCTATATTTTAGGTAACACGCTTCAGATTATGAATTTTGCACATATTTGTGTTTGGAACTTAAAATAAAAATTAAAACATCCCAGCTCTGAATGGGTCCCCTCGGATTCACAAAAGAAAACACATTTTTTGGCTGCATTTGATACATTTTATTGCCAATTCATTAAACACACACCCCGCACTTCACTTCTTCCCTCTGTTTCAATTCATAATCCCTGTGGACCAGAAAAAATGTCAGTTTTTCATTTCCCCCCTTTCGAAATCCTCGTTTTTCTACATTTATATACCAAAATCTCCAAAAACAGGCACAACCAAGCGGCAGAACACATTAGAGCCCATATAATAAATAGCAAACGTAAATGCTCAATTCCCGCCGCAGTTGTATCATGAGCCTCGGCCAAACGTTGTATATAACCTGCCGACACGGCATATTGAAATGTCTCATGTTCGTATTTCTGCAGCAAACCATTCGAATGGGTGCGAAATAGGAAATACTCCAAATCACGCCACACGGGCGAATCCATTTGTATGGGATAGGCCAGATGATAGGAACCAAAACAAATATCGGAAAATTTAAACACCTTTTGCTTCAAATGTTTTTGGGCCTCATCCAGAAAGTGCCAGGTATCGTCGGTGACAAAATAGGCAAAACTTTTGTTGAATTGAATCCGGTGTGTGACAAAAGTGTGGCTGTCAACGGGCCGTATTAGTTTACCAAACTCCTCGGGCATTTGAAAACCCTCGGAAAGTAAAAATTCCAGCTCATAATCGATTATCATGACGGGCAATTGGGCCTGAATCAGGTCCTCCATGGTGTTGATTTGGGCACGAAACAGACTCACCGTGAGAAAGCTACCCAAATATGAGGTATAGTTGGCGGAGAGGAAGAAGCTAAAGTAGAAAAGGGTAATGTAGAATAGAAAACGTTTAAGGACCGGAACCTGTATGGGCTTGGGTGTGGTTATGCCCAGGACAACACAGTAATCATCCAACCAAGCCTCAATGACACGACTGAAATATTCTTTGCGTTGAGCCCTGAGGATAATAGTTTCCAGGGTGATTTTAAACAGGTCCATGATTTGTAGTGCGAACAAAACAACAATTATTACCAGCCACACCTTCCATTCGAACGGCTGCAGGACATAGAGAAATGTGGATATGCTGTTTTGTAGTGGCACCATTAGACACCATTTGACCACCATTATGGGATAGCTTTTATCCAAATCATCATCGGTGTGGTAGAGGGCATAGGCATGGGCAGCCAAGTCAATTTTCCGACTACGCACCAACTCCAAGACAGCTTTCATATTTACCACATCTCCACCATAGTTGTCGGGGGGCATTTGATATTCTACTATGGTACCATTCAGGGATTCCACAAAATCATCCAGGATACGAAATGTGGTGCCCTGCATCTGGGCCCTGCCCCCCTTATCCTTGTATTTTATGACATGCGGCAAATCCTGACGCAGTGGTGTGTAGAACTTATAACCACCCACATCCTGAGAGGCCGCTAACGCTTTTTTGTACTGCCTCCTGACATAGGCCATAAAATCGGTACGATTTTCCATCACAAATTCTGGAAATTGTTCGTGGCCAAAGAGTTCGTTTCGTCCATTGGTTTGTTGGAAGTACACCATGCCATTGACAAAGTTCCCTTTGTACAGGACATAGCAAAGCCGCTCGATGTCCTTTATGCTGCTCACCTTGGGAGCGTAGATGATGAGTGAAAGGCCAAAATGACGTCCTGTCATTACCCGATTGTGGGTATACATTATGGGATCCTCAGCATCGGTGGTGAAGACCACAACCATGCAATTCCGCTTGGCTGCGGTACGAATCATTCTCACATCGCTGCGATTGGTCCATACGTATTGGGGTTCCCCGGTGGCATCCTGAATGCGTTTTATGAAACTATCCAAATGTTCGGTATGTTCCGTGGTCATCCGCGGACTTAGAAACCAAATGTTGCCCATGGACTGTAGCATGGGGTAGAACTGCATGATGAAATTGAAAATGAAGTCTTCGTTCCATTGCAGTGCGGGGTTGGGAAATAGGGCTAAACTTATCACGGCGACTGCCAGTCTTCGAATGTTCATTGTAAACTGAATGACTTGCCGATTCCTTGGCATTTCCTTGGCTTTGTTTACCTGACACAAGTTCCGATGTTCTCATGTATCCCACCGAGGAATGCAACTCCCAGGGGCATTGTTAATACATGTCCCCCAAAGTGGCTTCTTCATTTTCATGTCTGCCGGGATGGTAGGCAGACAGAACACGTGGCTGGTTTAGTTGTCAAAAAATCGTCAACAATGAACGTTCGAAAATTAATAATCGCCATCCTTGGCTTATCCTGTTTCCCCTCACCCTCGCTGCCTTGGAATGATACCTTCATCGCAAATTTCATCCTAAAACTGTATCCCGTATTGAAGGCCCAAGGCAACATTTGGTTCCTTAGCCAACTGATGACCACACAGCACACGGAGCATTTGGATAGATTCATAAAACGCATCCAGGATGGATCCGGCGAGGCTCAATATGTTTGGACCAATCGCAGTGATGTGCGCATCATAAGGACAGCATCGAAGCGTAACTCTGTGGCATTTGTACTCACCACAGGGCCGGATGATCCCATCATGCATGTCCATAGTCGTGTTATGACGGGACGTCATTTTTACTTCTCCGTCTTTATATATGTGCCAAAGGTATACGATTTCCGGGAGATCGAGAGGCTTGCCCACCTGCTGTACCTGGGTAGCTTTGCCAACAGCATGGTCTACTATCAGCAGCCGAATGGTCAAAACGAATTGGCTGGCACCGAACAATTTCCCCACTTTCAGATGATAAATCTGACGGATTTCACGGTCTATGTTCGGCGGCAGTTCCAAAAAGTCATGTCAGCCAATCAGGATGTGGCAGGCTATAAGTTTTACACTCCCCTGCGCCAGGACCTGCCTCATGTCATAAAATACCACGACAAAATGGGGCGTCTGCAATTGCAAGGTACCACATTTCGTATCCTGGAAGATTTCATTGACTCCCTAAATGGTTCCATTGCTGAATACGAGATGCCAAGGGATAACTATGGTTATGAAGTGGTAAATATGAAAGAAGTTCTGGATTTGGTACGTTCCCGGAAAATTGACTTGGCTGCTCATGCCTATGCCCTCTACCACACCGATGATGATTTGGATAAAAGCTATCCCATAATGGTGGTCAAATGGTGTCTAATGGTGCCGCTACAAAACAGCATATCCACATTCCTCTACATCCTACAGCCGTTCGGCTGGAAGGTGTGGTGCATACTATTGCTGGTGTTCTCGTTTCTACTCTTGCTAGATTTTTTACGAATTTTCCTAGACTCCTCAATGTTCAAGGAACTGAGAATGAAATTTCCTAGCCAGCTCAGTGATGCCTGGTTGGAGGATTTTTGCCACATCATATGCATAACCGCACCCAAGGCCATAAAGGTTGCTACCTTAAAACGTTTCCTCTACTATGCCACGCTTTTCTTTTTTAGCTTTTTTCTCTCCGCCAACTATACCTCATATTTGGGTAGTTTCCTCACGGTAAGTCTCTTTCGGGCCCAAATCAACACCATGGAGGACCTGATTCAAGCCCAACTGCCAGTCATGATAATAGATTATGAATTGGAATTCTTGCTATCCGAGGGATTTCACATGCCCGAGGAATTTGGAAAACTAATACGGCCCGTTGACAGCCACACCTTTGTCGCACACCAGATTCAGTTCAACAAAAGTTTTGCCTATTTTGTCACCGATGACACCTGGCATTTTCTGGATGAGGCCCAAAAACATCTAAAACAAAAGGTGTTTAAATTTTCTGATATTTGTTTTGGTTCCTATCATCTGGCCTATCCCATACAAATGGATTCGGCCGTGTGGCGTGATTTGGAGTATTTTCTCTTTCGCACCCATTCGAATGGCTTGCTGCAAAAATACGAACATGAGACATTTCAATATGCCGTATCGGCGGGTTTTATAAAACGTCTCGCGGAAACTCAGGAACATTCATCGGCTGGTTTGGAACATTTGCGACTGCTTTTCATCATATGGGGTCTATTGTGCGGAATGGGTTTGTTTTGTTTGCTAATCGAAATTTGTATTCATAAATATAGGCATTATAAGTTATTGAAATTGTAGGAATATTTTAAATTTATTTAACTGCCGGGGGAACAAATTAAATTTAAATTTAAAAAAAATGTGAACGGATTAATTTAGAGATTCAGAGAGAAGCTTCTTCTAGTTTTAAGTGAGATATTGTAAATATTTGATGTTTGATATGAAAATAAATTTACTAACTCTACGAATGTATTTATATTTTGCTTTGATTTACGCCCTAAATTAGGCACTATATTTGTGAATGCTTAATATACTACTTATAACAAATCACAAATTGATATGCTGGTGGCGTTCCTCCTCATAATACATTATAGGTCTTAATGCACATTTTTCCTCATTTTTTTCTGCATTTCTATGAGAAGTCCTCCTGTTCTATATCAGAAAACGTTTCATTTCTATTTGAAAAGATTTTCTTATACATCAAACTTGTAACATTTCTATGGGAAGAGTTACGGATTTTTTTTCTCTGAAGACCATGTACTCTCCACGACAAAGTCCTACACTTCTCCTCTGATAAAACCAATTGGCGCAATATGAGAACGCCTGTTAATAACTTTTTCCATAACAATGAATTTATTCTGTTTTTTATGTTGACTATTTTTGGAATTAAAATACATTTATTACCTCTGAATTTATATTTTATTTGGCGCCCAAAAGTAGACACTACAATTGTCAACTATTATGTTACTTAAAAACAAATCCTAAAATGAACTGTAGATGGCGTTCCCTATCATATATTAAACATTTTAAGGAACACCTTTTCCTCATGGTTTTCTTTCATTTTATGGGAAGTCCTGTTTCCCTGTATCTGAAATAGTTTCATTTTTATTTAAAAAGATCTTCTTAGTCCTCAAAATTTTTGCTTTTCTATGGAAAGACTTACGGATTTTTTCTTTGAAGACCATGTTCTCACCACGTATCTCCCCTGAGAAAACCATTTGGCGCCCTATGAGAAAACCTGTTAAGATCTTTTTTTTTTGATAATGAATTCGTTCTTTTTTTATATGCTGTCTATTTTTTGGAATTAGAATTCATATACTGCCTCTGTATTTGTTTTCTATTTGGCGTCCAATAGTAGACACTACAATTGTCTAATATTATGTTACATAAATGAACTGCAGATGGCGTTCCTTATCATATATTAAACATTTTAAAGAAGATTTTTTTCTAATGGTTTTCTTTCATTTAATGGGAAGACCTGTTTTTCTGTATCAGAAATAGTTTTTTTTTTCTTGGAAAAGACCACTTCTATGAGAAGGTTTACTGATTTTTTCTCTAAAGAATTTTCGTGCACAAAAATTCCTTCGAAGATTTCCAAAAAGAAAAAAATAAAATCCATTAAAAATTCTGTTAAAATCTTAAAAATACCGAATGTCTATACGACGACGTGGACCTGTATAGGCAACTTTTGTCATAAGTTATTACAATATTTAAATGCGAAACTTGAAGAAAAATCTGTTTATAATGTAGCTAAAATCATCAAAAAACCAAATATCGGGAGGTACCGTTATATGGGGGCTATACGAAGACGTGGACCTGCACAGACAATTTTCTGGCATGGGCGGAAGTATCCATTACGAACTTCACAAGCGAAATTTGAATCAATCCCGGTAAATAATGTCGCTAAAACCATCAAAATACCGAATATCGGGGGGTACCGTTATATGGGGGCTATATGAAGACGTGAACCTACATGGCTCATTTTTTGACTTAGGATGTAGTATACATTACGAACTTCAAATACCAAATTTGAAACGATTCCGTTAAATAATGTCGCTAAAATCATCAAAATATCGAATATGGGGGGTACCGTTATATGGAGGCTACACGAAGACATGGACCTGCAGAGATAATTTTCTGTCTTAGGCTGTAGTATCCATTACGAACTTTAAATGCGAAATTTGAAACAATTCCGGTGAATAATGTCGCTAAAATCATCAAAATACCGAATATCGGGAGGTACCGTTATATGGGGGCTATATGATAACTTGGACCTACATGGCCCATTTACGAACTTAACCTGCCTACTGGCAAAAAATACATGTGTGCAAAATTTTAGCTTTCTATCTCAATTTGTTCGAAAGATAGCGTGATTACAACAGACAGACAGACAGACGAACATGGCTATATCGTCTTAGAATTTTACGCTGGTCAAGAATGACAAAATTAATATACCCCCCATAGTATGGTGGAGGGTATAAAAAGGATAATCCGATTTTGCTAAAACTTTGCAAATCCTAAAATTTGCAATATCGGTCCACTGCATCAAGTACCTCCCCCGCAAAGGATAACATTTTTGATAAATTATAACTCTTATAAAATGTGATGTAAGAGTCCGATTATCTTCAAATTGCACACATCACAATATTTTTATTAAACCATTGTCTAATGTGAAGACGGTCCTCTTCTTCTGGTACTTTCCCCACAAAGGGTCAAAATTTTGAATGTCCATGAAGCTCTTAAGACGCGAAATCAACATCTGATTCCATTCGGATTTCACACGTCTCGATATATCCATAAACACAAGATATATTATAAAGACGGTAGAGATCGGACCATTCCCTTTGGTACCTCCCCCCTAAAAGGGTCAAAGCCTTGAATAACCCAAGGGAATATAAGCATCCGGTCTCTTTATATTTCGCACATCTCATTATTTCTACTAAAACGAGATATGCTGTATAGATGGGGTATATAGGCGCACTCCTTCTGGTACCTGCCCTACAAAGGGTCAAAATTTTGAATGTCCATGAATCCATTCAGACTGGGTACATCTCAATATTTTCATCAAACCAAAATCATTCCCTTTGGTACCTCCACAAAGGGTCAAAGCCTTGAATAACCAAAGGGATTATAAAATCCGAAATAAGCTTCCGGCTCTCTTCATATTTCGCACATCTCATTATTTCTACTAACACGAGATCTCCTGTGTAGATGGGGTATATAGGCGCACTCCTTCTGGTACCTCCCCTACAAAGGTTCAAAATTTTGAATATCGGTGAAGCTCATACAACGCGAAATTAACATCTGATTCGATTCAGTCTTGGTACATCTCAATATTTTCATCAACACAAAATCTGTTATAAGATGGTAGGCATCGGACCATTCCCTTTGGTACCTCCCCCACAAAGGGTCAAAGCCTTGAATAACCAAAAGGATTATAAAAACCGAAATAAGCATCCGGTTCTCTTCATAATTCACACATCTCATTATTTCTACTAACACGAGATCTCCTGTGTAGATGGAATATATCAGTCCACTCCTTCTGGTACCTCCCCTACAAAGGGTCAAAATTTTGAATATCCATGAAGCTCTTACAACGCGAAATTAACATCTAATTCGATTCAGTCTTGGTACATCCCAATATTTCTCTCAGCACAAGATCTTTTATAAAGAGGGTATAGATCGGACAATTCCTGCTGGTACCACCCCCACATAGGGTTCAAGAAAAAACAAAACGCCAAATAAGCATCAAAATCTCTGCGAATTTCACACACACAATCATATGAAGGTGATATATATCTGTGAACCGTCGACTACGTCCGGTACCTCACGCAGATTTTAACATTTTCTACAAATGTCTCATATAGAGTGAAGGGAGTAGTCGATATAGTCCAAACCTGGCACCTCGCAATATTTATATCGTATTTATATTAGGTCCTATACGAAATGGACAATATTGGCCCATTCCTTCGTTAGCTACTCCACAGTGGGTCAAAAATTTGAATAATCCTAACACAAGTCAACACATATTTAAATAATCGATCATTGGCTGAGGTTATACTTCTGTCGGCTAAACCGACTGATACTTTTTATCTTGTTTTCATAAGCCCTCTAAGCTTCCACTTACTCTTCTAAAACAAGACTCTCTTCTCCTCTATGAAAAGAACTGTGCGTATTCCAGCAAAACAATGTCATATCTATTGGTCACATTTTTCTCTGTAGTCCTCTTATCCCTTGCCCTTTGACCATATCCTTGGCAAAGGATGTTTTACAATGTATGACGACATTAATTAAAATTTTATAATTATTTGATGACCCCAAGTGATTATATCTCGTCACGAAATGCTTGGGTAATAAAAGTTGGAAAAACATCAAAATGATGGCCCAAATCATTCAACACAAAATCAGTTGCCTTCCAAGCGTGGAAGATTCCGAAAACCAAAAAAAAAAAACTCACACACACAACAAAATGTTAAAAATACAAATACTTTCATTTTTGCTTATTACCCTGGCCAACTGCTGGAACATTGATTATGTGGGCAAACGTCTGGCCCTGCCCATAGCCATGGGAACCCAGGAGACGCTTTTTTGTCCCTGCGCCGAGTGTCAAGATGAAAAACTGGCATTGCTCATGAAATGGATTCAACTGGCCACCATGCATCCCCAGCTGGTCATGTCTCAGCCATCGGATTATGTGCTACGGAATCACGATGTGAAGAGGAATCTTTTGACCATAATGATACTCCAAGATCTCGATGATCCCATTGTGGAGGTACATGCCAATCTTTTGCGGGGACGTCATTTCTATGTTAACATTTGGATTCTCTACGAACCGCAATGGAATTTCACCCTCATTGAAAATATTCTGGAATATTTATATGTCAAGAAATTTGTTAATTCCGATTTGTATTATGTCAATGCCTCCAATGGAAGGGATGAGGTATTTGGCTTTGCCACATTTCCGGAATTCTCAGTGGAGAACAAAACCCATTTGGTGGGTGATATCAAAATGTTCTATCATCGAATAATTGAGAAAACCGATTTAAAGGGTTATCGTTTTGAGACACCCCTACTTATGGATGCGCCCAAGGTCATACGATATTACAACAACAATGGCGAATTGCGGATCCAAGGTGTCACATACAACATCATGGAAATGTGTTTGGAATATTTAAATGGCACCCTAATCGAATCGCAAATGGAATATTCCAGTGATGGTGTGGTGAACATGAAGAACGTCTTGGAAGGAGTGCGGCAGCACAAAGTGGAATTGGCTGCCCATGGCTATGCTTTGTTCCACAACGATGATGAGGTGCAGAAAAGTTATCCCCTGCTAGTGGTCAATTGGTGTCTAATGGTACCCATTACCAACAAGGTCTTTACCATGTTTTATCCCCTGAGCCCGTTCCAGGCAACCGTGTGGCTAAACTTCTTGGTGGCCTTTGTTCTGATCAACATTGTGTCCCACTTTTTTCTCAAGTTCCATGATCTGGATAATCATAATTTTATTTTGATTAATTTTTGCAAATTCATCAATGCCGCTCCACCCATTACCAGCCATGGCAGTGACATGCCCTGGTTCGAAATGGTCATAAATGGTTTCATTTATGTTCAGGGATTCTTTTTGGCAGCCCATTACACCTCCATGTTGGGTAGTTTCCTTGCGGTGACCGTTATCAAGTCGGACATTAACAGCATCCACGATGTTATACACCAACATTTGCCGGTCATGATCATCGACTATGAACTGGAGTTTCTCGAGGAGGAGGTATTGAATCTGCCCCCAAAATTCATGGATTTGTTACATGCCGTCAACACCTCTGTTTTCTATGAACACCAACTAAATCTCAACCATTCCTATGCCTACTTCGCCACCTATGACACCTGGCATTTTCTCAACCTACAACAGGCCCATCTGAGAACTCCGATTTTTCGTTACACGGACATATGTTTTGGCGATTATCATTTGGCTTTTCCCATGGTGGCGGAATCGCCAATTTGGCGTGACATTGAACATCTGATGTTTCGTATTCACTCATCGGGGCTCTACTATTATCACGAGAAGAAATCATTTGAATATGCCCTACGTGCCGGAGTGGTTAGCCATTTGGTAGAGGATCCCTCGTTTCATACTGTGGGTTTTACCCATTTGCGCATGGTTGTGGGATTTTTGGTTATAGGATTCCTCATGGCCTTGGTGAGTTTTCTCCACGAGTTGTGGCAGAGCCGAAGGGAGAGAGAGCGTGCTAAGAGAGTAGATTTGGAGGACGAGGAAGCGGATGTGGCCAATAGTGTTTCATAATTTGGATGGAGAATTTTTTGGGGGATTTTATAGAGAAAACACATACACCTGTAGTTTTAATATGCATGTAGTGGAAAATAAACACACAAACGCTTTTTTACACTTTAATTGTTGATGCCTGATTTCTACGGGGGTTTCTCATTTAAAGAAGAAAATCAACCCCTTTTCCCAGAGAAGGACCGATACTTTTTCCATAAAATACCAAAAAAATATTCTCAGAGAAGTTAAAGAGATCTTTTCATAAGTGTGATAATATAGGCTTTTTAAAAAAGACAATAAACCTTCCCAAGGATTATCAGAAAGTATTCTCCAAGAAGGCAAAGCGGCCGCTCATAGAAGTTTACAATTCTCTTCATAAAAACAAACAAAGAAATTTCCTTATGGATTGTCAAATATATGCCTTTTCCTTAACATCGAAGAATGGTAATTTTACCCTCAGCTATATGGCTAGAGAAGGTATATATCATTTGATACGGCCATCGATATAACAGTTTTAGACCATAGGTCTCTTTGGACCAAATCCGTTTCAGGACATTTGTAGTCAATCTAGCGGCGAAAGGAGTATCCGATTCGCTCCAAACTTGGTACATCGTAATATTATTGTCAAATTTGGATCGAGTTCAATAACGACCCACACCTTCTGGTACCTCCCCCACAAAAGGTCGAAATTAAAAAAAATATTTACTGCACAGAAAGAGAAAGGATAATCCGATTTTACTCCAACTTTGCATATCCGAATATTTCCATCAGAGCTAAGACAGGTGCGAAAATGGACAATATCGGTCCACTCCATCAAATACCTCCCCCACAAAGGGTCAAAATTATGAATAATTACAACTCTTATAAAAAGTGATGTAAGAATCCGATTGTCTTAAAAATGCACACATCCCAATATTTTTATTAATCCAAAATCTAGTGTAAATATGAAATATGTCGGTCCATTCCTTCAAGCACCTCTCCCACAAAGGGTCAAAATTTTGAATATCCATGAAACTCATAAAAAGCGAAATTAACATTCGATTCCATTCAGTCTTGGTACATCTCAATATTTTCATCAACACAAGATCTCTTATAAAGATGGTATAGATCGGACCATTTCTTCTGGTACCCTCCCACACAAAGGGTCGAATAACAAAAACGATTATTAAATCCGAAATAAGAATACGGTGCTCATCATATTTCACACATCCCATTACTTCTACTAACACAAGATCTGCTGTGAAGATGGGATATATCGGATCATTCCTTCTGATACTTCCCCCACAAATGGTCAAAGTTTTGAATATCCGTGAAGCTCATAAAACCCGCAATTAACATTCGATTCTATTTAGACTTGACAAATCTCAATATTTTTTATCAACACAAGATCTGTTATAAAGATGGTAGAGATCGGACCATTTCTTCTGGTACCTCCCCCACATAGGGGTTGAAAAACAGAACGCTCAAAGAAAGCGAAATAAGCATCCAACTCTCTTCAAATTTCACACATCCAAAGATATTTGCTAACGCAAAGTCTGTTGTGAAGATGATAGATATCTGCCAACCACTTCTGGTACCTTACCGAAATGTAAAGAAGCTACTTGATCGAAACCCGCGTCACAGTGGCCGAAAAAAGGCTTGTGAGCTGAACTATCGCAATATTTCATTCGGCAAATATTAAAAAATAAGCTCGAGGTAAAGCCATTGAAATTCCAAAAAAAATCAAGAACTTACACCGCAACAGAAAGAAAATAGACTCAAAAGAGCTAAAGAGTTGCCTCTCTTGGCCGAAAGTGGTGAACTGCCGAATTTCGTTTTCTTCGACGATGACAGCAGTTCCTTGTCCAGCGGTTTGTAAATAAACAAAATGATCCGCTCGTGTTTTCTTGCCAAAGCGATCAGCTGAAAATGTGCACCTTCGGTTGGCCACCAGAACTCAAGCGCCGGCCATGGTGATAGTGGTGGTGTGGGCCGCCATAACAGCCGAATAAGTACCGAATATTATCGCGAAAATATTCTTGAGGGTGTATTAAAGCCTTGGGCACGCTAACAATTTGACGGCACACCTTGGACATTCCAACAGGACTCAGCACCATCGCACCCAGCACGCGCCATCCAAGAATGGTTACAAAAAGAGGTTCTTCGCTTAATTTCCAGCTCACAATGGCCACAAAAATCTCCGCATACCAATCCGTTGGACTATTTTGTCTGGAATATTTTGGAATGCAAGGTTGGCACTAAAAAATACCAAAGTGTCGATCACCTCAAGCAAGCGCTTCCCCGGGAATGGGCCAAAATACCGCAGAGCAATATTCGGGCACCGTGTGAGGGCTTCATTGGCCGTTTGAAGGCCATAATTCGTGCCAAAGGTGACCAATTCGAAAAAATCTAAAAATATTCTAAAATTTGATTCTATTTCCGACATTTTTTGCTTTCATTCAATAAAATTCAAAAAAATGTAAAATTATGACCTTTGACTTTGTTGCAGTTTTTTTTATCTCACCCTGTATATCTGTCATTACTTGGGAAAAAATCGGCGATTCTTTACAATATGTTATATCTAACTATTTTTATTAACCGGAAGTCTTGAATATTAATATGTTATTTATTAATTTATGATTTCGCATAAAATAGGATATAAATGTTCAATTTCCTTCAAATTTTGCACATACCAATATTTTTATCTGTATTATATGGATTTTGAGAATGGGATACTTCGGTCGGCTATATCTGGTACCCCACGCATTTTTCCACATTTTCCAAAAAATTTCACATATCTCATATAAAGTATAGGAAGTAGTCGATATAGTCCAAATCTGGCAAGTTGTAATATTTTTATAAGTTTAGGTCAGATACGAATTGGTCAATATTGTCCACTTGCTTTGGAACCTACCCCCACAAAAAGGTCAAGGGTTTGAATAATCATAACTCCAGGCTGGGGATATAAATCTGTCGGCAAAACCGACTGATGCAATTTTCCTTGCTTTTTTTAAGAAAGGGGAAATCGGTTATCACAGTCCTGGAACAGACAATATTCTATTAGTTTTGAAATAGAATAACATTTATTTCTTATCTGAAAAAGTTTTTTTTTTTATTTTTTGAAAATCTTCTCATTGAAGTCCAATTACATTTCTAATAGAGCCTCAATTAGTCTTCAAAATAAATTATCGCTAATACACCCTTCCCTCTTTTCCCCAATTTATCCGTAATTACAACATTTCTGATTTCCATTCAAGATAATTCGTCCTCAGACACCACCAAGCCGTATAGTTTCCTTATCCAATTAGAATTGATGCTAATTTATTTAATTATTCAATTAACCACAACCTTTTTTTGGTTGCCCCATACAATGGCGAATTGAAATAATTTTCTTAGCAATTTTCCATTTCATATCAATCAGGAAACAAGATATGAAAATAATTCTGTAGGCAGCAGGTTGGCCAAAATCCATATAAAAACCCAATTTCCCCAAAAAATCCCCAACAAAGTCTTTCAATCGCTTGTGCCAGAATGAAGTATCTTCTCCTAGTTACATTTTTACTTCTGTGTTCCAAGTCCATAGCCCATCACGACTCATCTGGCGTACACCTTGAGGATGTTCTTCGAAAACAAGTCGAACTTTTAATTAAAATGGTGAAAACTTTGAGTTCCTTTAATCATTTCGACAACATCATATTCTATGGCACTCCAAACAGAGTCTATGATGCCCCACTGAATGTCAGTACACTGTTGACCAATATCGGTTTGGAGGTGCACAAAACCCTTGGCGATATTGTTGCAGAATTTATGTTTACAAATGAGAATTCAAGGCCGGCAATGATTTTCGCCATTGCACCTTGGAATTATGTAAATAGTTCCGAGAGTATACCGAATTTGGGAAAAATCTTAACGAATCGCAATTTGGCCGTGATATTGATAAACGATATTTTCAATACGGAATTAAAGGAATTTGTTTCCACCTCATTGGGAGCTAGTATGGAGACAAAGCTGATATTTCTCTTAATTGGCCATGAACTGACGGAGGTGTTGCCCTTTATACGCCAGGAAAAGTTGCTGCGATTCTTTCGTTGGTGTTGGTCCAAAAATATACTCAATGCCATACTGATGTATCAAGAAAAGCATGTGGTGGCCAGTGTAGATGATTTGAAAATGGAAATTTACTCCTATTCACCCTTTCCCAGGCCCGTTAAATTGATCAAATTAACAAATGTCCATCCGTTTTTTTTCTTTTTTGATCGAACCTTGGATGTAAGGGGATATGAGTTTAAGACGCCAGTGTTTAACGATAAGCCAAGTGTTTTCAAGGTAAGACAGACAACTGTGGAATGGTCTTCCATATGTGTTATTTAATTTCTTTTGGTTATAGGCCAAACGCCTGGATGACGATGATGATGATGACAACGACGAAGAAGTCTCTGGCATTGCCGGCCATTTATATTTGGAATTTGTGAAGAGCATCAATGGTAAATTTGTTGAATTGGAAACTCCCGAAAGCCATCCAATGATGTTGGACTATGAATACGAATTACTTGTGGCCCGTAATATTGACATTGCCATTCATCCGTTTTCCAATCTCTTGCCGCATGGTTATTACGGCAGCTATCCCATTACCAATACCAATAGCTGTGTTCTGGTACCGGTTATACCCGAAATTTTCGTTGGCCATTACATTCCACGAATTATGAATTTGAATATGTGGTTACAGGTTTTGGTGTTATTCACAGGCTTCCAGGTGGCATATTTTCTAATAGACAAGTTTAATGGCGGCAAATGGTATCCCTGGAAATCCATATCTCTTACCCTTAAAGGCATGTTGAATATGTCGCTGGGTGAAATCAATGTTTCGGAGACCTTTGGTATATTCTCTAGGAGCCGTATTCTTTTGATACACATGCTGGTGCTACTTTCGGGTATGCTTTATAGTTTAAGTTTTATTGCTGGCCTTACCTCGGCCCTGAGTGCCACAATATTTGGCAAAAAGCTGGAAACATTAGAGGATCTGCGCAGGGCTAATATTTCTATCATGATGTTGGATTACATGTATTTTATGTATAACTACATGGACATTATACCCAGCAGTTTCGAAAGTAATGTACTAATTGCCGATGTGGAGACAGTATCGCATCACTTAAATTCCCTGAATACCTCCTTTGCCTATGCGGTCTACAACGAAGAATGGCAGGTGCTGCAGTCGTTGCAAAAGAAGTTGTGGAAACCGAAATTTAGAATTGCCTCCAAATTGTGTATTGCCAATGTATATCTCTCATTTCCCATACAATTTAATTCGGCATTTTATCATCCCCTCAAGAATTTCATCTTGAGAATACGCGAAACAGGACTGGAATTGAAATGGACAAGTGATATATTAAAAGATATACGAGAAACTACAAGTGGTGTAAATCTAATGAATCACCAAGAAGAACATCCAGTGCCCTTGACCATTGATCATTTGCGAGTTATTTGGACAGGTTGGTTTCTTGGCATGCTGCTGGCCACAATGGTATTTCTTGTTGAGCTCTATCTAAAGAGGATTAAAAGAGTCGTTAGAAGAAGGAATAAACAATCAAAGAAAAATAAATCTTTTACGGAGATGATAAAATAACAATCGTTTATTCAACTAAAAATTCTGTGGCTGAAAAATTATCATCAGCCTAAAAGTATGCTATGAAAACTATATATGTACACTAAGTTTTTTTTTTGGCTTGAACAATGCACAACTGCTTCTTTAAGAATTTATAAACTCAGCTGTTTCGAACTTTAATTTTCAATTTGACTCTTGAATTTAATATAATAAATAAAAATAAAATATATATAAAAAAATAAAAAATAAATAAAAATAAAAAAAGTTAAAAAATAAATAAAAATAAAAAATAAAAACATAGGAAAATAAATAAATATAAAAAATAAGCAAAAATAAATAAAATTAAAAAAAAATAAAAAATAAATTAATGAAAGAAATAAAAAAATATAAAAAATAATAAAAAAAATTAAATTTGTTGCGAATTTTAATTTCCAATTTAAGGCAATTTAATCTAATAAATAAAAATAAAATAATAAATAAATTAAAATAAAATAATAAATAAAAATAAAAATAAATAAAAATAAAAAATAAATAAAAATAAGTAAAACTAAAGAAATAAATATAACTAATAAATATATACAAATTTAAAATTAATTAATAAATGAAATAAAAAATAATAAAAATAAATAAATAAAAAAAATTAAAGTTGTTGCGAATTTGAATTTCCAATTTGAGGCTTGCAATTTAATCTAATAAATAAAAATAAAATAAAAATAAATAAAAATAATAAAAAAAAACAAATAAAAAAATTAATAAAAATAGAAAAATAAATAAAAACGAAAAAAATAAATAAAAATAATAAAATATTTAGAAATAAAACATAATTAAAAAAAAATAAATGAAAATAATAAAAATAAAAAATTAATAAAAAAGTTAAAAAATAAAAAAAATTAAAAAAAACAGGTTAAAAAGTAAAAATACTGAATGTATGAATATATGACGTGGACCTACATAGGCATTGTTTGTCATAAGCCATTAAATTCGAAACTTGAAATAAACGTTGAATAATATAACTAAAATCATCAAAATACCGCATATAAGGGGGTACTGATATATCGGAACAATACGAAGTCGTTGACCTGTATAGACAATTTTCTGTTACAGGCTGTTGCATCCATTACGAACTTCAAATACGACATCTCAAAAAATTTCGCTGAGTATTGTATCTAAAATCGTCAAAATACTGAATATGGGAAGGTAGTGATATATGGGGACTATACGAAGACTTCGACCTGCATAGACAATTTTCGCATTACGAACTCTAAATACGTAATTTGAAACTACTCCGATGAATAATGACGTTAAAATCTTCAAAATACCGAATAATGAGAGGAAACCTTAAATGGGGGGCTATACGAAGACGTGGACCTGCACAGACAATCTTCTGTCATAGGCTGTAGTATCCATTACGAACTCTAAATACGTAATTTGAAACTACTCCGGTGAATAATGTCGCGAAAATCATCAAAATACCGAATATCAGGAGGTATCGTTATATGGGGGCTATACGAAGACGCAGACCTGCATTTACGAACTTAGCCTGCCTACTGGCAAAATAAACATGTGTGGCAAAAATTTAGCCTTCTATCTCAATTCTTTCGAAAAATAGCGTGATTTCAACAGACAGACGGACACACAGACAGATAGCTGATCAAGAATATATATATACTTTGTTGGGTCTGACATGAGTATTTCGAGGAGTTACAAACGGAATGACGAAGTTAGTTAATATACCCTCATTAGTATGGTGCAGGGTATAATAAAAAATAAATACATACACACATGTAGCCCGTTACAAATAAAGAAATAAATATAACCTTTGTATAACTGAAATAATTGTGGATAGATTCGATTTACACAAAAGTTATCCATGTGTGAATATGGGACTTCGTGTAAAACAGACCCTCTTTCATACTCTCCTATGTGTTCTTTTTCAACCCAATTAATCTCAAGAAACTTGTGTTCAATCGACAGTCTGGAATTCCCAGTACAGAAAACCCTCCATTTTACAAATCCATATATATTTTTGATAGATATTTATTTATTTAGTTTTATATCAATTACGCTATGTACATTTACAGATTGACATAGATTTTCATTTTCATTTAAATTTCACAATTCTTTCCATTGTATATAAATTATATGTTAGATGATAAACAACATTTGTTTTCTAATTATGATTATTATTATTATAATTATATTAATTTGATTTAATGATAAATGCCCTCCATGCTGATCCATTTTAAACAGTGTTGCAACAGCACAGTAGCAGTGACATACATAATCATTTGAATTAAACTTAATTTAGCTAAACAAATTTAAAAACGTACAAACAAACTAACAGGTGGAATGCATCATACATTACAAATCCACCAATATTTCACCCTCAACAAAGGTTTTCTTTTCCAGGACAGCCGCTGTCCGAATTCTTTTGTCAAGGGGATAAAAAATCTCTTTCACCAGGCCCTCTATTATTTCTCCCTCTTCTTCTTCTTCTTTGCTATATATCACTTACAAAGCTATAATGATAATTTCTGGAAATCCATGAAGTTTTGAGGATTTTAGGGTTGTCCAAAGACACGCAAATTTGGATCTGTATTACATCCCATTGTATATTGCATCTCTAAACGCATTAAATTCATTTGATGTTGTTCCACACTGACCAGCGGCACAGCTGCTGGCATCTGGGACTGTTGCAGTGTCAGATTATAGGGATTCTGAACATATTCCTGATAGATATCACCACCAGTCTGTTGCTGACTAGTTGTGGCCGTTTGTTGAAAACTTACCGGAGTGAAACTTTGAACAATGGCAGGTGTGGGTTGCTTCTGCAATGAGGGATATTCATTACCAGCCAATAGATGGCTGATTGGAACTTTAGGTGCAGCATTGCTGGGTTCATCTGCAGCCGCCTTAAACTCCTCCTTTATTTCAGCAATGGTACTCACTTCATCGCCACTAAACACTGAGGTGTTTAAGAGACTGGTGTTATTAGCCTGTTGTCCATGTCCATGTTGCTGTTGGCTAGCATCAAGGCTTTCATTATGTTTCTGCCATTCCTGATTCTGTTTGTATTGTTTGTAGTAGAGATTGTATTGCTCTTGCAGCACATGTCTGAGGTGTGTTTCTTCTGGCTTTTCTTCGGGGACATTGGTGGTGTTTGGCACCTGACTTTCATAAGCATCCGGTGTGGCATCATACAGATCGATGGAAAATGAATTACTATCTATCGGCACTGGATTGGGATTTATCAGTGTTGAGGACATGACTGGCCTAGATGTTGTTGGTGTATGGGGAAACATGTTAGGAACAGTGGTGTTAAACTGAGGGGCAGTCTGAACATTTGCCGTTGTATTATGTTCTGTGACGACAGTTGTAATAGGGTTGGCTGGCCCACTATGATTTGTTTGTTGCGTAGATTGCACCACTGATGGCTGAGGTGCGGATGAAGTTTCATTTGTAGGGGAATTCATGGACACCAGTTGAACACCTTGCAGATTGTTGGCATTAACCAAAATGGGAGATGACACTGTGGTTGGTTGTTCATTGTTTGCAGCGGGAGGCTGAGCCACAGGCTGTTGTTGCTGAGGCACAATAAACGGCATATTGTTAACAGGGAACTGCAAAGAAAATATATGAAATGACTTGATTTTAAAATACCCTTAAATAGGATTGTCATAACTTACCTGACCATAGAAAAGTGGTTGCTGCTGCAGAGAATCGGCCACGGGTGGTTGCAGAATTATACTATGTCGCGGTGATTCAACGGGCGATATCAATGAAACCGGTGATGGTACAAAATGTGTTGTTGCCTGACTTGTAGTAGCCATTGGAGATGGTGCTGCAGTTGATTGTGGCAATATTGCTACCGCTGGCGGAGACACTGAAGTCAATGGTGGTGATACCACTGCTGCTTGGTGATTGGGTTGCTTCATGACATGGGCCCGATTACCTTAAAATTGTGCAAGGTATTCACTTACTGCACTGTGCTTTTTTAGGAAACTTAATTTATGATGATATCATGATTGAATTAAATGACATGAATGGAATTGTGGAAGTAGCGTAGGGAATGATAAACCCTTTTTTCTAACAGATAGATATGACATTTAAGAGTCTACAACAGTTGAAAGAATTTCTACCATTCTCCAACAAGTAGGAGGCCTTTTAAGACGTAGATAGATAGAAAAATTCCCATCTAGGTAATGGAAAAGAATTTCTTAACGCATTCTAATGGTAGAAGACTTCCAAAGAAATCTACTCTGAATAGAAGATCTTCATAAGATTTATGTGTAAAAACAAGAAAACCAGAAGGTCTTCTATGTCCTTCAGAACCATAAGAGAGCCAACAACTTTTCTACAAAGTATTTTCTGTCTCCCAAAAAATAGTCTCACTACTTGAGGTTTTGTTTTTTTAAGTAGAAATGATCACATTTTCCCCCATTGATGATAATCATGAATATGCTGAATAAATTAACATACCTTCATCTCGGAATAACTCATCTTTGAGATTGGGCAAGAATTCTCCGATTCGCTTCCATGTCAACTCCCACAAATCCATGCGTATCGTACCATCATTGTTGTGAAAAACTCGTACTGAATGCATTACCAAAAGCATGTTCTTGAGAATCTCTTGCATTTGTTCGGAGAGCATATCCGAACCGACCTTCATAAACTTCTCAATATAGTCCAAAATTTGTATCCACAGATCGTTGAAGGCACTGCCCAACTCAATTAATGGTGTGAGATGATGTAGAAATACCTTTGACATAATGGTGGCCGTACGTATTCTAGACTCCTCTAGGAGCACCTGATCCAATTGAGCTACGGCAGCACTGTCAGGCAGTAATTCATTGAGTAATGGAAATAGAACCTGTTGGAAGCACGAAGCCCACTCTGTGCCGGATAGTGTTTGAAGATCATGCACCAATAGTGCTCTTTGTTGCAGGCATGATATGGCATAGGTACGTACTTCACGTCGTCGATCCATGGCCAGGCGAGCAATTCCCTGCAACAGAGGACACCAACCTTGGGCCCACAATGCCGAACACTGTGGTACAGCACAGCCCTCCTCGGCCCACCAACGGAATATCTGGGCAGTTCTTGTATAAAGAGTATACATAAGATCCAACAATTGTATGGACAATGTCTCATAGCGTTGGGCCAAATCGGCTTCATCGCCATCTTCTCCAGCCGCACCACTGTCTTCGTCATGTTTGTTACGATCATTGGAACGATCTTGACGTTTGGCGCTGCCCTTCTTTTTTTGATTTGATGCAGCTGCAGCCAGAGCCGCTTCCATTTTGCGACGCTGGCGTATGCCACCATCCCGGCATGCTTCCACAAATGTGCGTATACAACGGACACAACTCTCAAAATTATAGGGGGTAATGTGGGCTACATTGCGAACAATAAATGCCAATGAATCCCAACATTTGAACAAAGCAAAAGGCATGTGGTCCAACAGCTTGCAGTTGTAAACCAGATTTGAGAGAGTGGGAGCACCAATGGATTCTGGCGGAGATTGCGGCCTAGGAGAAACACAAATTCCATTAATACACAAATAAAAAAATATGGCAAAAAAATTCTCACCTTGAAGCTGCCAAATCTGTATCCTTGTTCACCAATATCCAATTTTCTGCGGTGGGACTGGAGGGGAAAGGACTGCTAGCATTCGAATTTTGAGCCATGGGTATTTGTTGCTTATTACTAGCCACCTGTTGCTTACTGCTCAATTCCGAATCCGAGGTATAACCACGATCAGGCAAACCTGAATCCTCTTCACTACTCAAAGCCCCATCCGATTTGGCAGCCAAACCATTTGGCACTGGCAGCGAGGCATCATCGTATTCTGGAGGTTCAGCACCAGCACCCACACATTCCAAAATCGTAAAGACAATCTGCCAATCCTGTTCCGAGTGGATATTCTGGGCCGATGTTTTTAACAATTCATACATTCCTATGGAAATCTGTTTGGATATTCTCAAGATTACAGCTGGCTTTAGCATTAGCAACATTTTCAAGGATTTCAAAACAACTGGACACAGCTCTTCGTTGCGCATTAGATATATGGCCAATTTGAGCATGGCCACAATACATCGATTGAGAAGATAATCATAGCCACATGATGAACTTCCCATCAACAACAGGTACATTTGATCACGAACAGCAGGCCATAGGGGAATCATACGATCCCGATTGTAGATGACAATCTTCACGAGAAACTCCATCCAGAAGACAACCACATCCTCTGCATATGGCATGCCAATAGATTTATGGGCACTGGGTGCCTTGAGAGAGCCCAAAACTTGTTTCAGCAATTCCTGCAGTGACTCCAATTGCACAAACTTCGATTCCTGGATCATTTGATCCAGCTGGCATTCTTTGATGCACTTTTTACCAATCTTTATGAATTCCTGTTCCTCGTAGGAAGGTTCACGTTGTCCCTCGGACGAAAGATATGAATACAGACTGGAAAATATACCCGACTCTTGTTTCTGGCTGGGTTTCTCCAATATCAGTTGGGCCTTGCCCGAAGGTTCACAGAAATCTTCGACCTCCATCAGGGATTTGGGCAATAATTTCAAACGGAATAGTTGCAGATACAAGTCGAGAATATGACGCCAACCATCTCTCAAACAATCACCATAGTCATGGACCAAAGCGAAGACTGTGCGCATGGCAGCTTGCCCCTTGGGATTGAGACCAAAGTTGACAGCTTGAACAATTTCATTGGGAGCTGGATGTGTGGTTTCCAATTGGGCCGAACTCAAGATGCTGGTAAATTTGCACAGCGTTAAAATCAAGGCATCAAAGTCCTCATGTAGGCCATAGAATGCCGATATGGCAGCACATTTGGTAAAGCCAGTCAATGTTCTTTGATAGCCATTCTCACTGCTCTTATCAAACATAAAACTCAGGGAGCTAAGTGATGGTCCCCAAATGACATTGAAAATATCCATGTCGTATGTGGAGTCATGGACATAGGTGAAGAGACCATCCGATGTGGCTCCACGCCGCAACAATACCTTCCACAAATAGTTTTCGCGAACCAAACCAGTTTGTTCAGCAGGCATGATAATTTCATCGTTCCTAAAATAAAATGTTAAAATTATTGGTCACCATTCGTAAAAAATCATTAAGACTTACTTAATGGCATTATAAATGGTTGCCAGCAAATCCTGATCATAGTCTATGCCACCATTTAAACCCCTCAAATTCTTAAGGAAATCCTCTTGGGTCATGGGAATATTTAAACGCTTCGCATTGGCATTGTGCTGATCCATATTTAACATAATAATGGAATATGCCAAACTAAACGCTGCATCAGTATTGGCAAAAGGCTCGCCATTTTGTTTCTGCAAAAAACAAACAGGGAAATATCAAATCAATACTCTTTGTTCTGTTGAGCGTGTCCACTTACATGCCAATGTTCGGAGAAATGTTCGAGCACCAAAAATATCAATGGAGCCTCTCCAGGCAAACGGAATGTTTCCAAATACAAACGTAAAGCCTGGTCCACACGCAACCCTCTAAAATCAAACGACTCTACAAAATTCATTAGAATCTTCGAGTCGACGTTTTTCTTTTTCGAAATATATTCGCCAATCATTTTCTTATCCAAACCGGGATTTTCACGCAAAAAGGAGGCAATTTCCCTGGGATCGAGTTCGGGATTTAAAATACCATTTTCTTGTAGAAATTGTATACCCTTATCGGGTCGTTGATTAAACAATTCAGTTCCCTGGCTCAAGACTCGTTTTTTGTGTTTTACTTCCTTCAAATACTCGCCAGTTATGGCCTTTTTGGCAGCAGTATCACCGGACAGAGAGCGTAAACGTGATGAGGTGTTTATAAATTTGGATATATTTTCCACAACACTATCCTCCGTGGTCTTGGGATCATCAATGACTATACCCTCTAAGCCGGAATTTTGTCGTGAATGACGTAGCGAGGAAGATGGCTGTGATACAACTCCAGCTGTCGTATTATCACCCTGGGTGCCACAACCATTTTTGGCCGCCACACAATTACTTTCTATGTTATCCACCACCGATATCAGGGTGTCCATTGCCAATATGTGGGTATTATAAATGGCATTTGTGGCCGATAAGGTATATTTCGACAACAGATTTGTTAGACTTTCAAACAAATCACTGCAATACAGATCACAGTCGTAGTTGATATAAAGCTCGGTGACAAAGTTTGGAATACGCCACAACTGTAACAAATTGTCCAAAGCCAGTTCACGCATTTCATATGGGGTCTTTGGATTATCGCTGGCAATAATTTCCGACAACTTTCTGAGGTAGCTTTCCAGTTGGAATTTCAAATGACCCCTCATTGATTCAAACATTAGGAAACAGACTTGCAAATCGGCAGCAAATATGGTCAAGCGTTCAGAATTCATTAGCTGAAATTAATGTCAGTCAGTGATAATAAATAAATACATATTTTTTGGGTATACCTACCGCAAAGAGATTACGACATAAATCATCCTTGACCAGTTGCAGCAATGAGTCGTATTTGAGCATATTGTCGGCTCCCACTTCAAATGCCACGGTAAGCAAACTCAAACCCATGTGCATCATGGTGTCGGTATTTTGTTTGTCCAATGGATTGCACAGCAATATCAAGAAGCGAAATAGTTCTTGGATACAGGGCAAACCATAGGGGACCAAAGGGGCCATGCCTTCAGAAACATCTACAGAATTTTGTTGGGTAAAACGCACTCCCACAGAGTTAATATATTCACTACTGCCTCCTTGGGATAGAGGCGATTGTGGTCTGGCTTCAGAATTTTCATCTTGATTGGTGTTTGTGGGTGGTGAGGCTGGTTCCACCGATATAGAGGGAGCAATTTGCTCACTATTCGTTGTTGTCGTTGGAATGCTTTCATTTGTCTCCGTGTCTCCCTGGCCACTGGTCTCGCTGGTAATAGCTGATGTAGGGGTTTGGGTTATTTTACCCTGCAAATCTACAATGTTACCAGCTGGTGTGGCAGGTGTTGTGGCCAATGGAGGAGCTTTCAATTGATGCAAATGCCCTGGTGTTGTGGAATTTTGCTGTTGCACCTCATCACCGGGGGCTGATTGTGTAGAGATTTTCCTTTGCTCATCTGCACCCACTTTGGATAAATCTGACCCCTTGTAGCTTTGGCTGCGTGCCAAGTTCTCTTGGCTGGCCGCAACTTTCGATGAACGTTTACGTTGCTTCTTATCATTTTCCATGGAAGCGGCCATCATTTGGAACTTTTTCAGCATACCCGATTCAGTGCGATCATCGGCAAACTGTGGCAAGCGCATGAACAACAAAAGCACCATATCCTTCAAGGCCTGTTCGGCAGAACGGCGCAGCAACTCATTCAGGCGAGGTTCGAAACATATTTTAAAACAGCTTAGCATTACTTCACACACAGATTCATTGGTGAGCATGGAACCCTCGGGACTGCGCATTAATGTGTGTAAAACTTCCACGACACGGAACAGGGTAACACCATCCGATGATTGGTCGGTGCCCATGAAACGAGCATGAGTAACTGCATCAGCTATATTTTCTATGGTCACAGCCAAATTGGGACAGGTGGGATCTGAAAGAGAATAGATAGTTTTAATAGGGAACATTATCTCTTTTTTGACAAAAAAACACACTCACCAATCAAACCGTAGGATAAAAATTTATTTATGGCTGACAATGCCAAACTGGTGACAGCTCCTGTGGTCTCCTCGGTGCGTATAACCTCCAAGAATGGTGCCAAGAAAACATTTGGATCTATTAGCCGCAAATCCTCAATACGATTTAGAACCTGTTTGAGGTCCATGAACAATTTCATCAGCCCATCTTTTTCCTCATCCTACGAAACAAAAATAAAGGCAGCATCATTAGCCAAAAACATCCATTCATTCATATATACAACAAAAACAAACACTGGTCATGTATTTACAAACAAATATGCACACGCACATCATTTGCTCATTTGCCGTATCCATCTGACCAACCACATACATACACGTCCATCCATATGTGATCGTCTGTCGGCCCGTCTGTCGTTTGCTTTTATACATTTGACTTACCACGTATGCTGCAGAGGCATTCCAACGGGAACCCCTGCGCATTGCCGTCATCAATGTGGACATTTCGCCACGGACCACAAATATGCCATTTCCCGGCAGTGACATTTTAGATTAGTTTTTCTTCCACCACAAAATATGAGAAATTTTCCAACTTTTCACACACAAAAGAAAAACAAGAAAAAAACTTTTCCTCAAAATCGATTGAGGGTGTAGTGCGAGCGACTGCTGACAGGCTGGCTACTTCTTTTTCGTTGAACGTCTTTTTTTAACAACAATTTCTCATCAATAATACTATGTACAGGTAGGCAAGAATTCTCTCCCGTTTTCTATTCACATTTTAATTGTTGAGTTTTCAACAAATTTGTAAATTTTTCTGCAACATTACTATACACGCAACCACAACCACGACAAAAAAATCTAATTTTCTAGCTTAAGTTGATGACGTTTTCAAACTGTCAGAACTGACAGTGATTTGAATGCGATATGGCAACAATTGCTTTGTTTTCATTGAATTTTCAAATTAGAATGCCATATGATCTAACGTCTGGCTGAGAGGATGTGGTAGAGAGAGATTATTAAGGGAGTTCACATGATGAGAAATAAAGAAAATTGGAGGGATCACGGTACAGTAAAAAGGTATTAAAGAGCCACCAATTTATTTCTGTTTATGATACACGAATATAAGGCAAAAGAAATTGATGTCGTACAACAAATGGAAACAACCATTTGAGAGTTTGTTGTTGTCACTTGAAGGAATGTAAACAAAGTCAAACAAGGTGTTGAAAAGTTTTTTTTAGTAAATGTTTTTATCTTTATTGCCTTGAATCTAATAAAAAAAAGAAGTAAAGTATAGTCCGGGTTTGAGAGCAAGTTTTTCAAGAAATTGTTTTCTTCTTTTTTTGATTTTATTAAACTTTATTGAGAATTAATATTTCTTAGTAAAAAAATGGACACTTATATCACATTGAATAAAAAGTCTGTATTCGCAGCAACTTTATAATAGCAACCTTAAATAATTATAATATGATTTTTGAAACATCTAGCGGTTTAGCCTTGTGTGTACATATAACCTTAGGAGGATTTGGGTCTTCCGTTTAAATAATGCTGTTAAACTTTTCAAAAAAAAAAAGAAAAACATAATGTGAGGGAACCCGTCATATGGAGGCCACACCAAATCGGGAACCTCTATAGACAAGTTTGTACTTTAAGGATTGTCATCCACCAAATCTTCTTAAATACCAAATTTGAAACAGTTTCGTGGGTAAATGTGACTAGGATTATCAAAATACTGAATATCGGTGGGTATCGTTATATGTGCACAATAGGAAAACGTGGACCTAAATATTCAATGTTCTGCAACCTGAGATAGAACCCATTTTGAACTACAAATATCAATTTTTAGACAAATCCGTGGAAAATGTGGTAAAAATCATAAAAATACCGAATATCGGGAGGTACCGTTATGTGAGGACTATACAAAAACTTCGACCTATACATCTAATGTTTCGCCACCGGAGCTAGAACCCATTATGACCTACAAATACTAATTTTTAGACAAATCCGTGGAAAAATGTGACGAAAATCATCAAAATACCGAATATCGGGATTAACCGTTATATGGGACTATACGAAAACGTAGACCTTTACATACAATCTTTCGCCACCGAAGCTAGAACCTTTTATGACTTCCAAATTCTAATTTTTAGACAAATCCGTGAAAAATATGGCGCAAATAATCAAAATACGGATTATCGGGAGGTACCGTTATACCAAAACGTAAACCGATATATCTCATTTTCAATACCAGTCATCCTAGACACAATACAAATTGTTCTGCCAAAATTTTCAAGCTCTACGTCAAATAATGTGAGCAGTATCGTGATTTATATATATATATATATATATATATATATATATATATATATATATATATATATATATATATATATATATATATATATATGTATATATATATATATATATATATATATATATATATATATATATATATATATATATATATATATATATATATATATATATATATATATATATATATATATATATATATATATATATATGTATATATATATATATATATATATATATATATATATATATATATATATATATACTTTACGGGGTCTACGACGAATATTTAGGAATGGGTCAAACGGAATAACCTCCTTTTCAATGTGGAGGGTATAAAAAGAAAATGTTATGTGGCGAAAGAGCTTATGAGTATTCTTTAATTTTTGCAAAAAATAATATATAGTTCCGTGCTGGAAGAAGATCTACTTTGATTTGGGGTTTATCTTTTTCTTATGACTTTTAATTGGTATACACGTATTAATTAAAAATATTTTATTAGAAACCTTACATATTGTTTATTTAATGATTTGTAATCATTTATGGTCATTATGTATTGTCATATTTAAGCACATTTACTTGTTAGCATGGTACAATGAAGAGAAGGTAGGTCAACTTTGAAAAAATTGCAAGTATAGAGGTCTACCTGTTTGGATTGTAATGTCAGAATTAGTATCAAAACAATAAAAAATCAAACAACTTGTTGCATTTATTTTGAATAAATAATTGAAAACCGCGAAAACTGAATGAAAGGTCAACACTTCTTTTCAAAACCAGGTTCTGTATATCTTTAAAGTATTATTTCGCTAAAAAAAACTCTAGATTTTGTCGATGCATACGATGAAATAAACATTTTGAAAACATCCGAATTTGAATGTTTTCTGAACATTTTTTTGTTATTGAAAAGAAAACACATATATAAACAAATAAAGATGACATATTAAGCCTAGAAAATAAAAAAATTGAAATCATATGGTATCATAGCCCTACCTTGATATCATTGTACCATGCTTGTTAGAGTCTTTAACATTTGAAACTTTTTATTCGAAATGTGTTCCCTTACACAAAATAGCAGTACAATTGAAATGACTACACTTCACTATTTTCGCAACCAATACAATTTTTAATATAAAGAAACAAATCATTATTTCAAAAAAGGCATTTAGCAAAGTTTATCATATCACCAGCCACCTATGCTTAGATACCCCTCACAATGTTACCATATCGTAACAAATGAATTGTCAAACCATTTTTTGCCAAGTGTCACTCTCATACGGTAGCTCTGTCTCAGAGAAAATAAAAAATTTTCAGAGTACGTGTTTTGGTTGGTTTTCTTTCCAATTGGAATTGCAAAAAATCATAAATTGTGGAATAAATTACAAAGATTTGTGTGCTAAAGTGAAATAATATTGGACTATTCCGTTGTGTGTTGGCAGCAACACCAAATTCCATACCGTTTTGTGTGACAAAACCACCTTACATTGATCCAATATGGGAAACAGTGATTCAAAGTTGAACTTTCGCAAATCCATTGTACAACTCACACAGAAAAATCAGAAGATCGATGCTGACGACCCATTTTGGGAACAGTTTTGGAGTGGTCATCAAACCACTTTGGAGGATGTGTTTGCTTTGGTAACTGCGGCGGAGATACGAAATATACGCAATGATAATCCTGCCAATTTGGCGACTCTCTGCTATAAGGCAGTGGAAAAACTGGCGAAGGCAGTCGACAACAGCTGTCGCACACAGGCCGAACAGTCGTGTGTCATGAACTGTGTTCGTCTGTTAATACGCATTATTCCATACATCTTCGAGGATGACAAGTGGCGTCATTTCTTTTGGAGTAGTCTACCAGCAGCGGGTGGTGGCAAAGAGGCTGGCCAGGATATAGCAAGGGTGGGTGGTGAGACTGAACCGTTGGCATATCATCAGCAAACCGTACCCTTAGCCCAGTCTCTGCTAAATGCTGTGTGTGATTTGCTTTTCTGTCCCGATTTCACAGTGACAGCAGCCACCAGGAGGCCAGGCCCGGAGAAGGCTGAGGAATTGGCCAATATCGATAGCTGTGAATATATTTGGGAAGCGGGTGTGGGATTTGCCCATTCCCCACCTAAGAATGCCAACATGGAAAAGAGACGCACGGAATTGTTGAAATTGTTGCTGACCTGTTTCTCGGAACCAATGTACAGGGCTCCAACACCCACAGAGGAGCCCAATAAATGGATTGCCTACTTTACATCGGCCGATAATCGTCATGCCCTGCCTTTGTTTACATCATTTTTGAACACGGTCTGTGCTTATGATCCCGTTGGCTTTGGGGTACCCTATAATCATCTACTGTTCACGGATACCACCGAGGCCCTGGTGGAGGCTTGTTTGCAAATATTGATTGTAACATTGGATCATGATATGATTGTTCAACAGCAACAACAATTGGAACTGCAGCGCCATGGCAAATTACCAGCTCCGTCGCCATATGACGACGTCTGTGGGGATAATTTGTTCATCAATTATTTATCCCGGGTACATCGAGATGAGGATTTCCATTTTATTCTGAAAGGCATAACACGCCTGCTAAACAACCCCTTGGTTCAAAACTATTTGCCTAATTCCACCAAACGTTTGCATTGTCATCAGGAGCTGTTGATATTGTTCTGGAAGATATGCGATTACAATAAGAAGTTTTTGTATTTCGTTTTGAAAAGTTCGGATGTTTTGGACATTTTAATACCCATACTCTATCATTTGAATTATTCCCGGGCTGATCAGTCGAAGGTGGGACTTATGCATATTGGGGTTTTTATTTTGTTGCTGTTGTCGGGTAAGTTGAAACCATAGACAGAGAGTGAGAGTATGAGTCAGAGCCTTAGTTTCTAATCCATTTGGTTTTCCCCTTTGTGTTTTAGGTGAGCGTAACTTTGGTGTGCGCCTGAATAAACCCTACACTGCTACTGTGCCTATGGACATTCCCGTGTTCACGGGTACCCATGCCGATCTCTTAATAACTGTATTCCATAAAATCATTGCCACTGGCCATCAACGTTTGCAGCCCTTATTCGATTGTCTTCTCACAATTTTGGTCAATGTTTCACCCTATCTCAAGACTCTGTCCATGGTGGCCAGTGTAAAGTTGTTGCATTTATTGGAGGCCTTCAGTACACCATGGTTCTTATTGTCCGCCCCCAGTAACCATCATTTGGTGTTTTTCCTCTTGGAAATATTCAACAACATCATACAATACCAATTTGATGGCAATTCGAATTTGGTGTACACAATTATACGGAAACGGCATGTTTTCCATGCCATGGCCAATTTGCCAACTGATATGAATGGCATTGCGAAGTGTCTGAGTGGCCGAAAGGTGGGAAAATTCAATTTACCACCGGTGAGGCAAAAGCGAATAACAACTGTTGTGCAAAACTTCCAAAATCAGTTGCCCAATTGCGTTGAAGATGATGACGAAGAGGATGAGGAGGCTGATTTGGAGGTGGATACCCCAAAAAATGGTGGCATTCTAAATAATAGCAACATTGCTGAATCGGAGACTGAGTCTCAACAACAACAG